TTTTTTCATTTTTAAGATAAAATTCTCTTTCTATAACGATAAATATTTGATTGACATGTAAAAGCTATTTTATAAAGATTTTCAATTTCTCTTTGCGTTTTAGCTTCGATTTTTCGGATAGAATAAAATGACAGGCAGCCTACTCCACTGGGTCGAGTTTTGCTGTGCAAATTCCTCCCGTCGGAGGGTTATGTTTACAACATAAGCTTGTCATCTTTGCGCTGATTGGCTAGTCGCATTTTCTCAAATCACCCAGTATCTTTCGTCCATAAATTTTCTTTTGTTGCATTATGTGTAAGTAGAAGATATTTTTGCAACAACTAGATCTTCCAGCCCCGAACGCCCCCTCAAAAGTCTAATGGATCGCCCCTAAGACAAGCAAAGCTGGCGGATAAAGTCACGTGTGTTCGTACGTAATAAGTGTTTTTTGCAAGTATTGTGTTGGCACTACATGGACAGCCAAAGAATTTCACATTTGCAAGTATCACGGGTGGAAATGCATGCAATCAAGCMCATGTTTATGTTTGAAAATCAAACAAGTGCAACATTTTTTAAAGGTTGTGTGAAACATAAATATACAATTAAAGGAGGAGCCGACAGGTTCCTGGGAGAAATATATCTGTTCTTATGTGCAAGCCAGCTGTTGTGACTTACAGCTGTAATAATACAACTGGTTGCCAGCCAGAAATTCAGAAAAAAAGAACTCTCCAGGCAAGGAATACTGTTTAAGATTTTTTGCCAGGAAAATGAAAAATTTTCTAACTAAAAAAATATAAGCCGTTTCTGACCATAAAGACGTTATGTAAGCCTTTTTTTACCTTGAAAACGTTTGCCAGGAACAAAGTTATTTTGAAGAAGGAAGGGCGGCATATTTGCTTGAGAGATTGTCAGCAGATTGTCAATAATTATAAATGTAGCTCAAAATCCATATTTCCAAGGAAAAAGTACAAGAACAGTTATAAGAAGAACAGACCCCGTCGGCTTCTCCTGATACAAGGAGCTTTTGAGGAAGACGCATTCAGAGCGAGTAAGTCAACGAGCTCGTGTGCATTATCTTTCAAGTCACGGGTATCCAAATAAAAAGTAATTAAAAATTGGAGTGTGTGACACACGTGTCATGCGGTGTTTGTACTTAATGTTACGGATCACTTCTCCGTTCGAGATGGAGTCACTGTCGATTCTCTCGTTAAATGACGATTATTTGTGCAACATTTTGTCATATTTAAACGATTTCAGCTCGTTTTACAACTTCTCTTTGACTTGTAAACGGTTCAACCAACTTTCTGGAAGTGAAAGAAACTGGCACATCAATGTCCTCAAGAGAAAAGCCGAGTTCTACACGAGACAATTCCTTGTGTACATTGCCGACAACCGCAGATACGAAGCAAGAGAAGAGCTCGTTTCTCTACTACTCGAGGAAGCCGAGCAATGCTCCATTGATCATGTTTCCTTCAACAGCATCCTTGATGTGTGGAAATCGTGCGGCCCTGTCGCTGCCAAGTTTTTTTCTTGGATCAAAAGTTCAARCTMYATCACACGTGAAGAAGRACCCAGAGAAACRWGCTCAACAATCACCTTTCATTTACCCAAATGCGACCAAGATTTGTCGATTATTACATCTCACTTCGTTGACTACATTGGGAACGGTGACCGGGAAACGAACTTCAAAATTTCTTGTGGTGATTTAGAGATTAAAAACGAAGTTTCTAGGATTATTCCTGAGGATTA